TCTCTCTCTCTCTCTCTACTCTATATACTATATATATATATATATATATATATATATATATATATACGCGCACATCGCACAAACGCAGGATCAATCTGCGCCGTTAATTACGCGCGTAACGGTATTTTCCCGATCCCGCACCGGTAAACGGATATAATTGTATTTCGCTTTACTCTATCGATACCCCGTGTCGTCGTCATATTTCCTCTGCCTTAATAATTCAAATCGATTTCTCGTTTGTTTCCACGTTAGCCGTTAGCCGTGCGCCGCTATTAAGCGCTATTAAATAGCGAAGTTATTCTGTCACGGGCAGACTTACAGGCATCGAGCGTAACACGTTTCGTGAAAATAATTGTCAGAGAAAAGGTCTTTGACCTTCCGTCGTTTTGTGCAGCGAGAATGAAATGCATTTAACGGATAAAATTAGAGTCGACAGCGCGTCGATATCACGGCAGAAATGTCTGATCGATTTTACAACGCTTGTGAAAATTCGAGTGAATCGCGTCAATTAGCGAGGTCAAGAGGAAAATAAGATATTTAGAATGTTAAGAAATTTATCGACAAATCATATCGACACACGACGATTGACTGGTGTTACAAATCATTCGCTAGGAACAAGTTCATTAATAACAGCTTAGATTCGAGTATATTCTTTTGATTAAGTATTTTCTCTCTCGACAGAAAGAGAAAACAATTTTGCTGAAGTCTCTAAAAATTTAGTTACAAATTTAGATAGAAAATTTGAAAATAACTTTACTGGGTCAACAAAATAATTATGCGGTATCGAGATAATTACACATAATATTATTAAATATTAATAATGCTGTCGAAATGTTTAATATTTTAACAAGCAATTTAAACGTCCTATATAATTATTTTGAATACGCTTAAAAGATATCGATATCGAGAGAAAAATAATTGAAATGTTTCGGCTTAGCCAACTCGAAAATGATATCCATCAATCATGTCTTATTAATTATTATGAAATTGTAACAGGTCTTTCTACTTCGAAACGACAATATATGCAAACGACGAGAAAATAAATGGTGTACGCACACATGCTACAATATCATTTGATACTCCTCTTTCCCGACTGCGGCATGGAAGTGTTCTCATGTACATGATTATTTCGCGAAAGAGACTATTGGGACACGCGTAATACGATACCGCCAGCATTGTTCGTTCTTAAATGAAACGACACTGTGTGTGCACGTTTACGTGTGTTCTCGCAAGATAGGCGCGAATTCTCCGTTTCACATCTTAACAAGGTGGTTATGGCCGCTTTCTTTTACATAACAACGATACTGGATATCTTTAATTATTCGAAAGTATCGTCGATGGCATAAACGCGCGAATGCTAGACTAAGTCGAACTGTAACTTTAATTAGCACGGAGAAACAGAAAGACAATCGAGATTACCATTAATTCATTATTATTATTATTATTATTATTATTATCACTTGCATAAATCTGTAATTATTTCATAAATATTTTCCTTTTTAATATGAAAATATATACGAATGATTAGATTTAATATGAAACAAAATATATCTAGATGATATATTTGCGTGACTTCTCCTAAGAAAATAACGAATTAAATATTTATTCACAGAAATGTCACTGCGTAATGAGACCCTTTTTCATATTTCACGATAGAAATTTCACGGAAACGTTTTCATCGTTTACTGCCAGGGTGGCAGGTCTCGGATTCCCGATGACGCCGGGAAGATCCTCCGACTTATCTTGGAAAAAA